AATATTTTATATATAAGGTTGGGATACAGATATGCAAACTAAATGGTACATGATATTATTCTTGATTCTTTTTTAACTAATGTAATGTAGGGGGTTACTGATATATTGTTGCCCTAGCACTGGCTTCAGCAGACAATAAATGCAATTTGGCTGTATCTGAAACTAAAAATGATTAGAATGTTCTCAAGGTCACACAGCACAAATAAATTATGCAAGCAGGCCAGACACTAGCATCTGTGGTATACTCAATTTGGAAACAGCTCCATCATATATAATGGTTATATTGGCTGGAGCTTTGGAATATTGTAGTCCAACACAACTGGATGGCAACAGGTTGAGGAAAGCTGCATTACAAAGCTGAAATCAATGGGCTCAGAAGTGCCATATCTCATACAGTATTGATTTTCTTTGAACTTTTTTTCTTCTACACAAGCCTCAAGATAGCCATCCCTAATTTCTGACCTGGAATAGAATGTCTATTATGTCTCCATCTATTTGCTTTTATCCCAAAGAGCCCAACATGTGGAAGGTTTTCCTCCTCCCAGAATTGCTCCTGGCCTAATTGTTTCACATACCCTTTCCTAGCTTTACATGACTCTCTAAAACAGTGTTTCTCAACCTCAGCAACTTTAAGATGTGTTGTCTTCAGCCAAGCTGGGGAATTCTGGGAGTTGAAGTCCATACAACTTAAAGTTGCAGAGGTTGAGAAACACTGCCCTAGACAACAGTCCTTCTCCTCCACCCATACGTCCATATATTTGGCCTGTACATTCAGTAGGAGTGTGAAGAAGTGCATTGTATGGACAGATATATACATAGGATGGAGCTTTTCTGTACGTATTGAGTCCTGTGTCTGGAGTCCCATGCCCATGTAGATTCCCTTCAGACAAGGGCTGAAGATGAGCTATGGATGTGTGGTCCCTCAGAAGGGATAGGTAGCACACCCCACCCTGCAGTCTTCTCCAGATCTCCTTAACAATATGCTGCATGCATGAATTGTCTTACTATCTTACCTCCTTTCCCCCCCCCCTTCATTTCTGTTCAAGTCCTTGAAGAGCCATTGCTGATAGGCAAGAATAATACCAGCTAACTTGGCAATTTCAATTCAGCAATAGCCGTTGTTAGAGGATGTGCTTCTAAACATAAGTAGAGTGCTGGAAGAATACTGAGCAATTAAGAAGCGGGATGTCCCATTGCAATCAGTGATAAATATACGCTGGTGCCTTGGATGCTGAGTTTGGGCTTAGCCCAACTATCAGTAAAGAAATATAAGAAAAGCCTTGCTGTATCTTGCAAAGAGAGAGTGAGGGAGACAGAAGCAGTCTCCTTTGCCTCCCGAGCACAGAGTTTCACTGAACCAGAAACAGGCCAGAGCAGAGACAGGCAAAGAAGATTCTCCTCCCCCTCCTCTCTCCTCCCCATTTGCCCTAGCGGCCGAAAAGGCTCAGGTGCAAACAGACGATGCGCTTCCCAACGCGAATCACGTTCCACTGAGTCATGGCTCGCTCAGTCCAATTTTTTTAAGATCGCATGACGCACCAGTCCATAAACTAATCACATCAGAGGGAATCCCACAATTTAGGTGATCTATGGCTGACTAGTTTGTTGTTGTGCAAACACAACCAGTGTGTCTAGCTAAAAGGCTGGGGCGTTCCGCTGCCGATGCTCTCTTTTTCCAGACCTTGTTCATTGGGCTGCTCCATCGCTCCAACTCTGCTGGGGATAGGTCTGCGAGGAGAACACGCCGCTCGCCATTCCCAACGAGTGGTCCTCCGCGATACTATAGCCCTGGTAACGGGAATCCTTTCCCCTCCCTTTCTCCCTCTTTAAATCCTCCAGCATAACCCGGCTGGGTTGATCATTTGGGGATAGTCCCTTCCCCGGGCATTCTGGAGAGGCGAGGAAGCTCAGAAGCGCCCGTTTTCTGCTGCAGTGTTACGGAAGGGAGGGGCGGAGGCGGGACGGGAAGGCCCCTCCTGGACGGCCCGCTTAGCAAATGTTTTCTTCGCGGATGGAAAGTTCGACCTCTTTGTGACATAGAGCTGAGGCGACTCTGAAAAGCCCTTGGCAGGGGCGGGCAAAGGGGCATCATGCATCCCCATGCAGGAGGCGTATGGGCGGTACCGGCACGCCGAGCAAGCCCAGCAGCGGAGGTGGGTGGGGCCGGAGGACGGGGGAGCTTCCCCTCCCCTTTCTAACTGGTGCTGCCCTTCGCACGGTGCTGGTAATTCGCAGACGATCCCTTGGCTCGCCGAGTTGGTTTGTTGTGGTGCCACGGTGTGCTTTTACAGCCGGGCGAGGCAGACCAGGCTCCTTGGAGAGGCGTAGCCGGCGTAGGTGCAGCGGGCCTGGAAAGGGCGCTGCCCCCCAAAAGCCAGAAAAAGTGTCCCAGCGCGCAGTCAGCCATTTGAAGATGGTCCCTCGGTAGCCGCCGTTGGATGGAGCGAACCCCCGAGGTCTGAGCTGTCCTCCTGCAGGTAGGGAGCCAAGCTTTCCAGTCTTGTCCCCTCGCCGCACGCCGGGGAGGACAGCCCGCTGCAGCCTCTCCGCCCATCCCAGGATGGGGAGCAGCGCTCAAGATCCCCGGGATTTGGGGAAGGGGAGAATGCCTTGCCCAGTAACTATATTCCTGGGTGAGAAGGAAGGACGGCTGGGATTCCCCCCTCCTTAGTCAGGAAAGATGCCCTTTCGCACTCCTTCCCATTCTTCTCTGAGTATCCGGAAGCAAGATCCGGTAAGGTTAGGCCGAAGTGGGGGGGCCTCAGTCATCACTAAGGCAGTCGATTTGGCACAGTTAAGCCACGGAGAGCAAGCAGGGAGGTCCCTTTTGCTGGCATGGCCCTAAAGAAATAATAATCATAATCATAATAATATAATATAATAAAAAAAACAATTGAGCAGGAGAGCCCTTGCGTGATCATGCCCTACTTGGGTTCTTGGAGGGCATTTGACTGGGCAGAGTTGGAAACAGGATACTGGGCCCTTGGGTGGGTCCGGTGCAGCTTTTGTATCCTCCAGGTGAAAATAGCCCCAACAGGAAAATGGGAGCAATGTATTGTTGTGCTTTTAAAAATATATATATATTTGCAGGGGCCCTAACATCCATTGGAAACATTGAGATGATCCCAGAGGTACTAATGATAAAAGACAGATCTTGCTATCATGTGCAAGTTAGATGGGGAGCTGTAAAACTACACTTTCCAAATGACAATACAGTCCTTTTTTTTGCCACTGAATATTTGTATGCATGATATGTACCATATTTACTAAATCTTGAGTCTAAGATGTAGCTTCCATATATGGTATCTTGACTCCACCTTAGTGTACATTAATTTATGATAAAAATGGTACCTTTGAGTAATCTCAGAATGCATTTTTATCACAATTACTGTTGGCAGTAATTGGAATCTTCCTCCGAAAGAAAGAAAAAGTGCTAGCAGAGAGGCCTGGCGAGAGTATACCGCTTCAGTTTGTGGGTGGTGTTACTAAGTTTTTCACCTAAAGAAAATCAGCCGGTGCCATGTTGGAGAGGGAGATGATACATAGCAGAAAGTTTCTTCATTGCATCTTGTTTTCAGGGCACAAAGATTGACTGCTTGATTTTACAAGTCCCACTGCATGTCATCTGAGGTCTCTGTCAACCAGTTACAATATGTTAATCCAGACACAAGTTTGCCATCATAGTCCTTTTCCCCACTGCTTGTTTTCCACCTGTGTTAGTTATCAGCAGAAAACTATATGTTGTCCCTCTTGCTGATTTCTGTCCTGCTTCTGTTGTTGCTATTTCAAATCACTTCCCTGCACGTTAAAAGGTGAAGAAGCCTAACAGAATGTATGTACCTTGAGGTTTTCCTTGGATATTCTTGGAAGAAAAGGGAAAACATTATTTCAAGACCAGTATGGTTGAGGACAACTTCGGCCAGTCTCACTCATGGGCTGGAGGCAAAGCCATGGGGACAAGCCAGAAAAAAGATGTTGCCAAGGCATGTTAATGCCGTGGTTAAATGGAAGTGAGGAAGGGCCTTTAGTACAGTACCAAAGAATTAAAGGAGTTTCATCTCTCTTTACCACTACAGTAGGAGTGTACCTCACAATAAAGCATGTTCTGAAGTTTCTGCTGAACTGTTTCAGGTCAGCCATGGTTCAACAGGATTGAAATCCAGAATGTTGGATTATTTGAGATTTTGGACGAAACAAAATCCAAAAGGGATAAGTGGGGCAAGGGAGGTGCACATTTACCCCTCTTTCCTCTCCAGAGCTCTCAGTGTAGGATATGCCACCAGGCTGTCTTCTTCACAGCACCTCCCCTCCCCTCCCCTAGCTACTGCCACAGCTAATCTCCCAGTGCATGTATCCCATCGCCCCACCTGCCCTTCCAATCTTCCCAGTGGCTTCATTTCCTCTCCTCAGCCCCTGATGTTGTGGCATGGTATATTCCATCAGCCTGCCTGCCCTCTCATCTTCTTAGAGCCTTCCCTTTCTTCCCTCCCCTTCCCCATGTGCTAGTATCCTTCGCTTTTTCCCTGCTCCCCTCCCCCGCCCTTCTGCATGGAACAAAACAGACCCAAATAATCCAGACAGGCAGGTTTTGTTTGGGCAAGGACCACCCAAGACCGGTTGTTCCAAACACAAAAGACTTCATTAACAGAAGATTTTGCGTATCTTTACAGCACAGTGACTCACAACACAGAAGTTAAGATCATAAACCACAAGAATGTAATTCTGTGAAACATAGAATAAATTTGTGTGGATGTTGAAGCATGTGGTGAGATTTCTTCACTGCTTTTCTGGGAAAAATGCATTTCATGTCAGCTTGGACGATTTCTCTGTGACACCAGAAGGAATTTTTCTCATACTTGCTACCTGCTCCTTTTAATCAAAAAAGTATAGAACTAAACATAGGATCTGCTGCTTGGAAAACAGGTGCTCTTGTACTGAACAAAGGCAAGCTTGCCTATTATCTCCATGGTTTTCATCGCTTCAGGAATTCAGTATAAGAGCATGAATCAAGAGATTCTATGGCTGTTAACAGTGGGGCAGCATCTGGACTGTGGGAGAGGAACATGTTGGAAATAAAGACCCCACCATAGTATTCAACAGCTTTCTCAGAAGCAGTGGGTAGAGAAGACCATTACTGTCAGAGCATCACTAGTTTTTCGTGATGACTTTCTGTGACCCTCTGTCTGCTTTCCATGCTTGTTTCTCTTTAGGAGTTCAATAAAATGAACTAGGTAGCACTTATCACTTCTCTTTGAGCTAGAACCACATGGATCAATTCCAGATTCATGTGTCTGGAAGAAAGCATGTCCCAAAGCCATACAGTATTTCTGTGTACCCCTCTAATTCTGAAGAAAGGACAAGCTGGCCATATAATATAACATCCTTGCTTGGTCTTGTAGTATTTGGCCAGTCTTTCCAAGGAATAGGAGTTGAAGTCCCAACACATCTGGAAGGCACTGGTTTTGTTCCTTGTTAGAAAAAAGTATTTGGAGATGACAATAATACTGAAAGGCCAAAATTTAGTATTCAAGGAACATACCTGTGGGAATACAGTGTGTCTTACAAAATTGTAGGACCCTTTCTACAGCCACCATGGCTTCATCAATTCAGAAATACCACCTGCACAGCTTTAAGCTTTTCTCCTCCGTCATAAGTACCAGAAACTTTTAAAACATACCAATTCCTGTTGTCTAGGGATTCCCAGGAAGGGAAAAGGGAAAGAGATGCCAATGTACTCTCAGGTGCTCAGTTGTACAGTGTCAGTTTGTACTTTAACTCCAGGCCTCTGATAAAAAAAAAAATCTCTTCAGTACTGCAATCCAGTGATCTTTCCTTTTATGCAGCAAGAAACTGCATGATGGTGCTGCAAGATTCTTTTGTGTGATGATTTGGAATGAAAGGAGAGTGGCTGTTAGTTGCAGAAGAAGTGAGAAGGACCCCTAAGTGCCTGGGAATCTCTATATTGTGGGATAGGGAGTACACTGTTACGCAGCAGCAGCATTGCTCTGCTTCTAAATGATACCATGGCAACTTCACTGATGGGTAATATACATGGCTTTTCTGGCCTGATGGTAGACAAATGGGTGGGGTGTGAGGTTGTATGGAAAGTGGGGTAAAGGATTCTGCTGTTGGCTGGAGTAATGGTCATTCTGATTCTAATTCTTGAACTGCAAGCAGCTGTTTCTTTTCTTTCTTTGATGACATACTTTTCAGGATTGTGGCAGTAGGTCAGCTTCTGTACTCTTTAACAGGGCCTTCACTTTAAATATATTTGACTGTTCCCCCCTCCAAACATTCCCAGAATTTCACCCTCTTTTGCCATAATCATCAGGTGCATAACAAGTTGTTATGCCGGCAATGAGTACCACAACCTCTGTCAGTCTGACTGTACATTGACAGTGTGATTTGGCTGCAGAAAAAGAGAAATACAGTTTTAGGCTGGATCAGTGGAAGTATACTTTGAAATCAGGGGAAGTTCTAGTTCTATTCTGTCTGGTACTGTATTGTGCCCACATCTGAGCATCATGTTCAAAAGGATTCAAGTGGATTTGGAATAGGCTCAGAGAAGCACAAGGGTGATAATGAGATTGGAAATTACTCTTGGGGAAGAGATTTTGTTAAGCTATAAGAACAGAAGACTTGGGAAGGGATGTTATGGCCAAACAAGTCAAGTACTTGAAGTGGAATCATCCAAATGTGTTTTCTATCATCTCCAAGTAATATTAAATAGGAGGAAAGTAGATTCCAGAATATTCAGAAAAATACTCCAATGGTAAGAACAATCCAGGAAAGTGGCAGGTTCATCTTTTTTGAAAGAGCTCAACAGGGGCTGGGCAGCTACCTATCAGAATTGCTTTTAGTTTGTATTTCTGCATTGAGCAGAGAGTAAGACTCAGTACCTTCTAAATAACTTCTTCTAGTTCTGCTACTCTAAGAAAACACATGTAGGCAATGTGATGAGAAGGACAATTGGGAGACTAACGTGCTTTTTCAAGTCTAGCTTCAGGCTCCTTGTTCACATTTGACAGCCAACCAGCCTACCCAGTTTAGGGCCAGTTTCAGACTTCAGGAGTGTTGTTGTTGTTGTAATGTTGTGGAACCTAACAATATCCAGTCACTTACCATGGATCTACTGGCCTTCTCTACTCTTCATACTCCTAAGATAGTTTTTTTCAAAATGACACCCTCCTGTAGAGGAATACAAAGATAACATTGGAGAAAGAATGCAAGAACAGATAAGGAGACATCAGCTTAGTCCTGGAAAAGAAGAAAGGATGAGAAATAACTCAAGATAACCCTGCTTTGATTCTGTTTAATATAAAAGAGGGCAGAGGGAAATTCTGGTTTTCAAGATTCTGTTATTATACCCCACCACAATAGAGTTCCAGTACTCCTTGCTGTGTTTGGAGTAAGCCTACCTTGAAGGTCTGACACTTCAAAATATGTTTGGGCTATAACCCCCATCATTCTCAAATAG